AGAGAGAGAGAGAGAGAGAGAGAGAGAGAGAGAGAGAGAGAGAGAGAGAGAGAGAGAGAGAGAGACTAGAACGTCGCTGGATTTAGATTGGATTTTACACCTTTTGAGTAACCTAATGGGTATATCATATATTTTAAATAAATATATGAAAACTAAATAACTAATAAAAAATAGTTAAGTGCATAACCATTCGGGTCAAACCCGACCCAACCCAAAAATTTAACGGGTTTCAGGTTTGGGTTGCAAAATCCGCTAGTTTTGGGTCGGAGTTTGGACCAATAATGGGTCGAGTAAGATTTTGCCAGGTCTAGTTGGAGGGTAATGTTTTTCGCAGTCCAAACTCGAACCGAAATGTAGGAAAATACATTTTGGGATAAATTCTTTTACGGTTCTAAGTCTATGTTTATTTTTTTGAACGTTCACTTAAAAATTATTTTATATAATGAGAGTTGTTTTTCCTTGGTCCTAAGATCCACATGTAAAATGTAAACTTTCTCATACTTTTCATTAACTCAAAATTGATTCTGAAAGTAATTTTTTATAAAAGGCTCGATCTTTTTATGATATTAATGAGGTAAATCCTCGATCTTTATATGATATTAAAGTTGTAGGAATTCCTATGTAAGCCAAAAAAAAGACAGAGAGTATTAAGGAGGTAAATCCGAGTTTGAGTCCTAGCAACTGAGTTGATTAGCAATTAGGCTAAGCAAAGGCCTCTACAAGAGCCATCTGCAGGCTCCATTCCCAGTCACCAAGTTGGGATTAGAGCTCAATTACCTTTTCATGTGAATGTCCGGCCGGGTCTTCATTGATCATCGAGGATGAAGCTCATCTTGTTTTTCAAAAAAAGATAAGAGCAAAAGCAGGGGCTAATTTAAGAAGTTCCATGTCACCAATTTATCATTAAAATTCAATTTACCTTCTCTTATCCGGCAGGTCTTCGAAGGCCATGGGGGATGATGCTCATCTTATTTTTCAAAAAAGGATAAGTGCAAAAAGAGGGGGTAATTTAGGAGGGTAAATTTGTGTATCTCTCATGGTTTTGCTTTTTACAATTTCTTTTTCCAATTCGAAGTATTTCTTGGAAGCAAAGAAAAATATTAGGGGTATGTCTTGGAAGCAAAGAAAAAAAAATTCCGATGCCGGGACTTGAACCCGGGTCTCTCGGGTGAGAGCCGAGTATCCTGACCAACTAGACTACAACGGAATTCTGATTGTTGTTTCCCAAAACAGGTGATAGCTTTTCCAGTATTGCGTCAGGTTGAGCGTCTCTCATCGTGGGTTTTGAACAAATCGATCAAAATTCAAAAAACCAGCTCACAAATTTACTGGTCAATTAGTGATTTGAGTGGTCAAATAGTCATAAATGCACGCAAACATGTATCATGTATATATGACAGGGATGTTGATCCAGGTGACAATCGGTCCACTCAACCCGCTCTCATGGATAAAAACCTGAAAAGAAACGGATGATGAGCGGATGATGGATGAACTATTGATGGATCGGGTCGGATGCAGGTGAAGCTGTTTCTCACCCGTCACCTTATCCATCACCCGGCACAATCATATTTCCTTTAGAAAAAAATAAAACTGAATAAATTACCTTTGTTGAGTGCATAGATTTGTTTTAGTTTCTAATATTCTATTTTATAAAAACCTAATTTGTAACTTGGATTATCGTTTCTTTGAAGGATTTTATCATAAACATTAGGAAAATTTATTTGTTTAAAGATTTTTTCTATGTAATATGCTTCATAAATTATTTATTTTATGAGACTAAAGATTAAAAGACTTACTTATATCATCCGTTTTCACCTGTTTCACTCATTTCACTCGTGAGTGATTGATGGATTGAATGATGAATGATGTATGTAATCAATGACGGATGGATCAGCAACGAATATGGAGTTGATGGATGGATGAGGGTGAAGTTCAACCTGACCACAACGTGCCCCGTTTAAACGGAGTAATAATATTAAGGCAGAAATCTTTTGATATTGGTTGTCAATGTCATATGGGACATCTATTGTACCTCATTCTCAAAACTGGTGATTCTTATATTTTTATGATTGTCAAAATATATAATTTTGTCTCAAAAGTATCATATTTTATGATTCTAGATATTTCCCAACAAACTTTACTTTAAAGTTTATTATGTTTGGCCGTAACAAAATATGATGTTTGACCAAGTTTTTATTGTGCACCTTGTGTTCTAAAGTCACTCCACCCCCTCCCCCCATAAAGTAACTACTTGTTGCCTCAAAACATAAAACAAATTTCAAGTGAACTTGAATATGAGTACACTTTTTGGAAAGGAAAAGAACAGTGTAACTCAATTGGTTATTATAGTATCACAAGAGTATATCTGAATACAAATATAAGAGAAACTCAACTGGTTATTTAGTTTGGTTGAAATTATAAATTAATTTATCTGAGGACCGAAAAAATAAAATTCATTCCTTTTTTTTGGTATGTGTGTTAGAGTATATTTGTATGTAAGATATTTTTGTGTTATTTGGGCTTAAGTTATTGGGCCTGTTGTAGAATGTAACTTATTTATACCCAAAGTGTAAATGGAAACCTCAACTCATTCAGTTCATTAGTTTGTACATGGTATGGGAGCATTGGGAATTTCGGTAGCTTCATCCGTTAGCGGATGAAGAGTCGCGACTAAGTCCGTCGCCCGTGTTCATCTGCTTCGCCGTCACCTGTGTTCATCCCCATCGCCACCAATTGAAAGGTTCAAGTTCTCTACCCAATTATTGAATTATTCAATTCAATTGGCAAGTGGGTAGGCCACTGTCCGTCACTGTCCAGGAGCTTTATTATTATTTTTTTTTGATGGCGTCCGAAGCATCATCAGACACAAAGAGGGCACGCCTTATCCACGACCCATCATCAATTTATTATCTTCATCCGTCGGAAGGTCCCGGTAATTCTTTAACCAAGTTCCTTCTCAAATGTGATAACTTTGATATATGGGAAAAAGCGATTCGTAATGCGTTAGGAGGACGTGGTAAATCTATTTTTTTGTCTCCGGTGGATGTTCCTAAACCTGTTGATGAAAATGAATTATCGGCTTGGTATGCTAATCACCAAATTATCTGTAGTTGGATTTTCAACAGTGTTGATGAATCCATTCAACCTAGTATTGTGTCTCACACTATATCATCTGAATTATGGGATGATCTTAGAAAGAGATATAGTTGTTCCAATGGGCCTCGTATATATCAGTTGAAATCTGAATTGACTTCTCTCCGTCAAAAGGGCCAAAGTGTTGTCTCTTACTACAACCAATTTATTACTTTGTGGAAGCAACTCAATGGTCTGTCTGATCCGACGGATGGTTGCAAGTGTGAGGCTGCCGTGGCTACACGTGCCCGTATTGAACGAGATAAAACAATTGATTTTTTACTTGGATTAGATGATGAGCAGTTTGGTAATATACGTTCCCAAATTCTTGGAACGGAACCTGTGCCTGATATTGATCGTGCATACTATCTCATCTCTCAAGAAGAGAGACACTGTGGAATCATTCGTGCCCGTGATGATCGAACTGAATCCGTTGCCTTTGCTACTCGCCAAGATCGTCGTCCACCTTCTTCCGGACGATTGTTGTGCTCACATTGTGGTAGGACAAATCACAACGTGGATACATGTTTTGAACTTGTTGGTTTTCCTGCTCATTACGGAAGGGGTGGAGGGGGTCGCGGTGGTGCATCTCGTGGGGGTCGTAGTGGCAGCAGACCTGGTGGGGTTCGGCCAGGTGGCAGCATGGGTGGCAGACATGCTGGCGGCTTTGGACATCATGCGGCCAGCAGAGGCAGTAATCTGCCATCTCATACCAGCGCCGAGGTGTCCCAGAATAATGCTAATTCTTGAGTTGTTAATGCTACTAAAATTGATACCGGAGGGGCCCTTAGTGATCAGATGAATCGATTGATGTCTATGTTGGAAGCTTCCGCTTCTCATGCTTACACTGGTACCTCTTTTTCCTCTTGTGAGTGGCTAATTGATAGTGGTGCTTCGCACCATATGACTGGCGTTCTATCTCATCTGTTTGATATTGAGGAAGTTTCTCCCCAATCTATTTGTCTGCCTGATGGCTCTCGCATACATGCCGTTAAAAAGGGGAGCGTTCGCTTGTCATCTACTTTGGTTCTTCATAATGTGTTTTATGTACCAAATTTACACTGTCACTTAATTTCGGTTGGTTGTTTGGTTCTTGAAACCCCCTGTTATGTAACTTTTAATGATCATTGTTGTGTAATACAGGACCGTTCGTCGAAGATGGAGATTGGACGGGGTGATCTTCGGAATGGTGTGTATGTCTTTGCTTCTCCTCCTGCGTCAGCTCTTGTTGCTCATACCGATCCCCTGTTAATTCATCAGCGATTGGGGCACCCTTCTTCAGATGTTTTCCCTTTGCTTGGCTACAATAAAACAACTTCAGTTATGAAAAAGTTACAAACTTGTGAAATTTGTTTTTTATCAAAACAAACTCGTTGCTCTTTTTCCATTAGTCACAATAAAGCCAATGCTCTTTTTGATTTAATTCATTGTGATTTATGGGGACCATATTCTCCTTGTATATCTTCTGGTGCACACTACTTTCTCACTATTGTTGATGATTTTTCTCGGGCTGTCTGGGTCTACCTCATTCGAACTAAAAGTGAGGTCACTTCGTGTCTCAAACGGTTTTTTGCTATGATCCACACTCAATTTTCTAAAACTATTAAAGTGGTTCGTTCTGATAATGGCACTGAGTTTCTAAATTCTTCTTTACGGCAATATTATGATAGTCTGGGTGTTTGTATACAAACTTCGTGTGTAGGTACCCCGCAACAAAATGGTCGAGTTGAACGGAAACATCGTCACATCTTAAACGTTGCTCGATCTCTCATGTTTCAAGCTTCACTTCCAATAGAGTTTTGGGGGGAATGTGTAAAAACCGCAGTGTATCTTATCAATCGTACTCCATCACAACTTCTTGGAGGTAAATCACCTTTGGAAATTTTATCATCCAAACCACAAGATTTGAGTCACCTTCGGGTATTTGGGTGTCTATGTTTTGTTCGTCAAATGCCAAAACCCACAAACAAATTTTCTCCTCGAAGTGTGAGGTGCATGTTTGTTGGCTATCCATATGGTACAAAAGGTTGGAGAGTGTATAATCTTGAAACCCATCAATTCTTTCATACTCGGGATATTATTTTTGATGAAACTCAGTTTCCATTCTCTCTTCCTACAAAGTCTTCCCTTCCCCAAACTGTTTTGTCTCCTTCGCCCGTAGACTTTCCAATAGCCGAAAACACACCCGAGCAAACCCTTGGTTCACCCTCGCTGCTGCCTCAATCCACGCCAGTATCCTCACCACTGCCGGATCATCCGCTAACCACCACCGATAATGGCTCCAGCAGCAGTGGCCCAGTATCGCCTCTATCCTCGGTGGAGACTACTTATTCAGTCTCCCCTGTCCCTTTACCACCTCGTGTTCGTCGCCTCCCGTCTCGTTTCAATGATTTTGTTCTCAATTCTGCAAAGTCCAACACGCCACTTCCCTTGTCACCTAGTTCATCCTCATCGGGTACACGGTATCCTATTGCTCGCTTTGTTCATTTTAATAAGTTACATGATAGGTACAAGGGGTTTCTTGGGGTTATTGATGCTTCTCCGGTTCCTAGGACTTTTCGTGAGGCTGTTAAATTTGCTTCGTGGCGTGAGGCAATGGCAGAAGAGTACCTAGCTTTGGTACGTAACCACACTTGGGATATTACTGATCTTCCTCCTAATCGGCGCGCACTTGGCTGCCAATGGGTGTACAGGACTAAATTCAAGTCTGATGGCACTAAGGAACGAGACAAAGCTCGCCTTGTGGTCCTTGGAAATCATCAGGAGTTAGGTGTTGATTTTACTGATACCTTTGCCCCAGTGGCGAAATTGGCCACAGTCCGTGTTTTGTTGTCCGTTGCTGCAGTTCGAGGTTGGCAAGTGGACCAATTGGATGTCAACAATGCCTTTTTACATGGGGATCTTCGTGACGAGATTTACATGAAAATTCCCCCCGGGTACGAACAGTTATTCCCAGGAAAGGTTTGCCGCTTACGCAAATCTCTTTATGGTCTTCGTCAGTCTCCACGCAATTGGTTCTCTAAGCTACGTACGGCCCTGCGCAGATATGGGTTTCGTCAGGCACATGCAGATCACACTTTATTTGTTCTTTGTCGTGGTCCTGATATATTAGTTGTTCTTGTATATGTTGATGATATTCTTGTTGCTGGCAATAATCCCTCTCTGTGCACTTCTTTCAAGAAATATTTGGACGATTGTTTTCATCTAAAGGATCTGGGTCTTGTAAAATATTTTTTGGGCATTGAGTGTGCTCGTTCTTCAACAGGTTTCGTTCTTAATCAACGCAAGTATGCTCTTGATATAATTCAAGAGGCTAATTTATCTGGATGTAAGCCTGTTGACACTCCGTTGCCCACTAATCACAATCTAGCCCGATCCACTAGTGCAGAGCTCAAGGATCCTGTGAAGTATCGTCGTCTTGTGGGACGACTGTTGTATTTGACCATCACTCGTCCTGATATTTGTTATGCCGTTCATACTTTGTCTCAGTTTATGCAGGCCCCACAACTCGATCATTGGAATGCTGCTCTCCGAATACTCCGTTATCTCAAAGGCCATCCTGGACAGGGTATTCTACTCCGTAGTGACAGTAATCTCGCTTTAACAGCTTATTCTGATTCTGATTGGGCGAGCTGTCCTTTGACACGACGATCAGTGACAGGATACTTTGTGATGCTTGGCGAATCTCCTATTTCTTGGCGAACTAAGAAGCAGACTACTGTTTCAAGATCTTCTGCAGAGGCAGAATATCGAGCAATGGCCAATGCATGTGCTGAAATTTGTTGCCTTCGTGGACTACTCGCTGCTTTATATGTCCCATGTGTTGCTACTCCGAAACTTTACTGTGACAACAAGTCTGCTTTGTTTATAGCTGCTAATCCGGTTTTCCATGAACGCTCTAAACATATTGATATTGATTGTCATATCGTTCGTGAATGTCTCCAGCGTAACCATGTTGTTACTGCCTATGTTCCTACACGTTTACAGACAGCAGATCTCTTTACAAAAGCTCTTCCTGGTCCATTATTTCATTCTTTGTTATCCAAGTTGGGCATTTTTGATATTCATGCTCCAACTTGAGGGAGAGTGTTAGAGTATATTTGTATGTAAGATATTTTTGTGTTATTTGGGCTTAAGTTATTGGGCCTGTTGTAGAATGTAACTTATTTATACCCAAAGTGTAAATGGAAACCTCAACTCATTCAGTTCATTAGTTTGTACAATGTGAAAGGAATTATCTCAAATGGGGCCAAAAGAAAAAAACGATGTTGTGATTAGTGATTACGGTGTATAGGAAGGCCAAGCTAGATCATCTTGACAATAGATTAAATGCCAGCAAATCCTTAATGTTGGAGATTTCTTTAAGTCGAAGCTTGCGCTCTAGCTGGTTCCTAGTAGACTTTTGAACTACTTACGCGGAAAAAAGAAAAAGATACAGAGAATGTAGGCTTAGATATGTAAAATGTTGTATGCAATGTACTAAATGTGTTTCATAAAAGGAATCATGTTTCTCCAATGTATATGGAGTAATTTTTAATTTTGTAAGGTACAAAGTACAACTATTAGAAATCGTAAGTGTTAGATAATAATAACAATTATGGTAGCATCAATTATGGTCGTCTTTGTATTTCAGCCAGCTTTCATTATTGATTCATATTCCTAGTTGAAGTTATAATCTCATCTATGTAAATTCTATCATGTATTTTATTATTCCTTGGGAAATATAATTATTCTATTATTCAATATGGTATCGGAGCTAAGGTATCTATTCTGAAAACCTACCCTCCATTTTTCTACGACCTCGGTCTTAATTTAAGTATCTATTCATATGCACATCTTCCGATTCGTCTTAATTTAAATTTTATTTACTATTCATGGGATTAAACTTTATCTATTGTTATTATACATTTTTTATACTAATTTGATAAAATAATATAGTTATGCCAACTCTTGTTTTATACGAGTAGACATTTAGATGTAGTTTTTAAGTATATTAATTTTATTTTTAAATGCCACACCAATTTTTTTATAAAATGAATTTCAATAAAACATCATAAATCAAAACGAGCAATTTAAATTGAGAAGCAGGACACATTTTTAATATATAAGATTTTCATAATATTTATTCTATGTTTGTCTAAAACTAAATTTAATTTATGGTCAGATTAACCACACAAATCAAACTAAAGATGATGATTTTTAAAGGAAGCACAATTAAATAGTGATGTTGATATTTTACACCCTCCAAACTCCAAACGAAAATGTAGGAAAATACATTTTTTTATGTAAGCCCAAAAAGATAACAGCAAAAAAAAGGGGGGGAAACCTACGAGAAAAAAACTTATATTTTCACATGGTTTTGCTTCGTACAAAATTCTTTATTCAATAATGGAGTATTTAATTTCTTGCAAGCAAAAATTTAGATTTCCGTTGCCGGGACTTGAACCCGGGTCTCTCGGGTGAGAGCCGAATATCCTGACCAACTAGACTACAACGGAATTGCGGTTTACAAATTCTCAGGCGTATAAATTTATTTTTCACTTATGCGTTGCGATAAACATCCCTTCTATCATTTTGAAAAAATCAGTCGAAACTCAAAAAAACGGTTCACAAGATTACGGCTCAAACTAGTGATTTGAGTGGCGGAAATATATGGTTCAAACATATTCAAAAATTAATGCGCGCACACACACACATAAACTGTATATATGATGTGAAGAATATATTCATATGGAGTAATAATAATAATAAGGCAAGAAATTTTCGACATTTATAATGATTCTAATATTTTATGATAGTTATACATGATGTGATTTAGCCCAACAATTGTGGCGTGCGAAAAAGAAATAAATAATAAGAACGGCTTTGAAGGGAATAGAATTCGTGTATCTTTGTATTGGCTTCTTATAGTTTGCCTTACAATGGAGGGTTGGCCTTCTATTTATAATCTACTTCTACTATGTACAAGGTATGTCATGTTCATGTGCTAGAATATAGACTATTTTACCATTCATGGTGGAGATTTAGTTATCAATTCCCCTCAATCCCAACGGGAATCTCATTTAATTTGGGTATTGGATCGGATGTCACCCTGACCCATTCTTGGGCCTCGCCTATATGTCTGCAATCGGATTTATATTGTTATTGGGCCAGTCCAACTCTAATTGGACTATTCTTGTCGGATCACTAGACTGAATATCCATCAATATATACTCTGTAAATTTTTGTTTCAATAGTTTCATATTTTATCTGAATTCAAATATTAGAGAAACTACATTTTATATACTCCTCCGTCCACAAATAAACTTTACGTTCACTATTTACAGGGTCAAACTTTATTCACTTTGTTGGCCTATTTTTGTCACTTATTTGATAAAATAATATAGTCATGTCACCTCTAGTTTTGTTGATCTTTTGATATACTCCCTTTGTCTCAATTTAAATTGCATGTTTGTCTTTTTTCTCCGTCCCAAAATAAGTTGCCTGTTAATTGTTATCGTAAACTTTTAAAAATAAAATACCTAAACTACTCCTAGAATAAGTCACCCTTCTTCACATTATCTTCTAATTCATAGTCACCCCTTCTAAAAAATAATGACAATTTTGAAAAATCAATTTTATTTTTTCTTTTCCTTAAATATGCCCAAAAATCAAAACAGACAATTTAAAACGGGACGGAGGGAGTAGTTTTTTAATATGTAATTTTTATTTTTTAATTTTATACCATTTTTCATATAAAATGATTTGAAAATAACTTCAGTCATACATCGTAACGCACAATGTAAAATTTATTTGTGGACGAAGAAAGTACTATAGTTCAATTGAAATTATAAATAAAATTCTCCTTTTTGGAAACTATCCTGTGAGGAGCTAAAAAAATGATATTCACGCCCTTTTTTTGGTAGGTGAAAGGAAAGATGACAAATGGGACTAAAAGGAGAAAACGACCTCTTCACATTTGTTACGAATATGTTTTCGGATGTGTTTCACAAACTCATTAATGATTCATAAACAATTAAAAAAATTAATGAGAATGCACTAAAATTTAAAAATGGAACATGGGATGCAATATGTTTTTTGCACTAAAAGGACCCTTCGGGGCAAAGCAATTCTCATATGCCCCTTGTTCTAATAGAGGAAAGAAAATTGATATAGACCACATGTTTGTTTCTTTAAAAGAAAAGAAGAAAAAATTTTAAGGAAGATAACTAGGGAACAAAGTAAAATCCAACGTCTTTTGAAGTCATTTTCTATACAAATTGGTACTGCAGCGTATCAATAAAAAATCATGGAGTATATACTAAAAAATTACGCATAAAGTTCTACAAAATAATAGATGACAAGAATATTTTATTTTATCAAATAATCAATAAAAATAAAGAAATAAACAAAAGTTATCGAGAGGTGAAAAAAATTATAATCAATTTTGCGACAAAGGGAGTATCATTTTCAAGGGGAAAGAAGTCGAGATGAATGTACAAGAGGTACAAGGCATATAGACGTTGTGATTACGGTGTATAGGAAGGCGAAACGGGATCATCTTGACAATAGATTAAATGCAGGCAAATCCTTAATGTTGGAGATGTCTTCAAGTGCAAGCTCGCGCTCTAGCTGGTTCCTGGTAGACTTCAGAACATCCTGCGCGGAAAAAAGAAAATAAAAATAAAGGGTATAGATGTTTACATGTATAATGTTGTTGTGTACAATGTACTAAATCTGTTTCATAAAACGAGTCATGTTTCTCAAATGTATATGGAGTAATTTTTTGACTTCAGTAAGGTACAAAGTACAACTATTAGAAATCATAAGAATATACTCTGTATTTTTTTAAATTATTTGAGGGTTTAACACTTTTACTACGGGTAAGACCCTCACTATTATGAGACATTTCTTTTATTCTCCAAAAGGTGAAATCGCTCACCCCGGACGCCCCTCACCCCCGACCCGACGGGAATGTGAGAAGAGGTAAATCACGGTGACCCAAGCAACAACACTTAGTTAGACCATATCCTAGTGCGCACCAGAGACTCCCCCCATTTTTCAGAGGTGGTCGCCCCCACAACGGTCGCTGCCAGGTTTCGATCCTTGGTCATTCTCCAAACTTCACCAAGTGCTTGCCACTTGGGCTACCCGTGCGGGTAAAACTGTGGTAGGGTAAACTTTTTATAGTGACTAGCCCCACCGCTTTCGCGGCCCCATACCCCAGAAACCCAACTTTGGCTTGGCCCTACGGGTTAGTATACACCGCTTAGCCCTACCACTTGAAGGGTTTTTTGGGGAGGCATAGTTCCACTAGCGCAGAGTGCGACTCGAACTCGAGACCTCTCCTCTGGAAGGGTAACTCCACAACCAGCTGAGCTGAGTTGCTTCGTTTAACTCGAGACATTTCTTTTATTAAATATATATTGAATGTATATATTCTTTTGTTCAGATAGAGCTTTTTTTATAGATATAAATAAGTATTTTTTTGGTGAGGACAGAGGGAGTACGAACAATGATGAACGTTCCTTACATTAAATTCCATATATGATGCCCGCTTTGCAAGCCATTGTGCATCTAACATTTCGAAGGCAACGCAAAAGAGGTTGTCAAAAGCCCTCTCGTCTTCGCCAAGCAAATCTAGAAACCGGATGGCTGGCAGTGTGGTTGGTTTTCCTGCATTTCAAAGAGAATGAGGCATTAAACGAATATATAAATATTCATATTTTTGAATAAGAATTCTCTTTCAAGAAATAGGTCCAGAATGAGCAGTGGCTTCTAAGTCCACAACCAGAATGTTTTTGGTCTAAAGGGCGCAGGTCCAATCCATTGTTCAAGGGGTTGAGTTTTTTTTAATCACATGCTAGCACAATAAAACTGATCTCTTTAGTCAAGTAGTGTGCATGAGTAACTTATACTCCCTCCGTCCCAATATAACTTGCTCACTTTGAAAAGATGTCGAATTGTGAAAAATGGGTGGTTAGAACTTGTTTAAAGAGAAACTGTTTTTGACCACATATTCTTTGTAAAAAGGGAGTGAAAAAATGAGAAAATTAGTTTATGACAAATGAAAAAACAAAGAACTTTTTTCTGAGATTGAGGGAGTGTTATTTTTCCTTAAAAAACATAAATTGATTCCCATAAAATGTGCTCAATATGTCCCATAACTTTCTCCCCATTGACTTTGACACAATGAAATTGCATGGTTGAGATTTATTCATAAAAGAAAGAAACAATACCAAGCACATACTTTTTTAGGTCGACACGATTACATATCATCAATACTCTGCTACCTCTACTCCAAAAGAAAAAGAGGCCATAATTACTAATTGTTGTTCTATTACTAAAACAGTATTGCAAACAAGATTCTTTTTGTTTTAGACAAAGGGAGTGCATAATAAGGAAAAGGAAATTCATGTTCAGATTGCTCTACAAACCTGATTGAAGATCCAACATCTGAACCAACATAAAAGAAATATTGATGCCCGCTACAGCAAAGGGATACTCCCATTCGGATCTTTTCCCATTTCGTTTTTGCAACAAATTCTGGAAAGATTCCTAACAAATGGGGGAAAAAATCATCAGAAAGTGTGCCACATTCTTTGACATCAAAAATACAGGTTTACATGTACGTAATCCAACGATCATCTAACCTAAGACTCGGAGATGAACTATACTTTTTAGATGGCAAAATATACACGGGAGTTTTTTGGAGCAAGCAGGAAAGTGAGGCAACATCAGATTAGGAGACCTGATGAAATTGTGCCAACCACAATTTTGGTACAGTGATGAGATCCCAATCCAGTCTAAAATCACCATAATCATGGTAAACTAATCCTTTAAAGGGGAAAATTGCATAGTAAAAGACTCTAAATTTGTCATTATAAATTGATCTGTATTTAGAAAAGATTCCAGGAACCCTCTTTTCTAACTAGGTGTGACAATACAGAGATTTGATGGGGGGAAATGAGCACATTGAAAAATGGAGTATGTTATATCTAGACTGTAGACATGCAGTTAGAATTTCATTCTGCAAAAATATCAATAAAAAACAGTGTTCAAAGAAGTCATGTATCAGAAATATCAATTGCATTATCCATATGTGCTATCCTTTTGGTTTATTTCAATGGACAAACAAGGTTATCCTTCAAGGTGAGAGCATGTTTTTTGGTCTTTGTATGGTAAATGAAGACAAATAAAACCCAGAGCCCACATCAGAAACATATATGCTAATACCCTGGCCAAAACTTTGAAGACCTTGTACTCAAAACCCTTATCCAAACCAAATTATCCTTTCTTCGCTTATCCAGAACTGGTCAATGGAACAAAATTTCAGTCTCCTCGTTACAAGGTGATAGAATATCAATCAAACAAATTACAAATATCTTATTAAAGGGAAAATTTCCAGAAGGAAATCGCATAAAAGCAAAGCTTGGGCCCAAATAAGTGAAATGAGAACCAACCGGGTATGCCTTGGCAAAATATATCAGATTTTCCAGTGATATGTAGCCTCCACCCCTGAACATTTTGTTTTAGATTGTATTGGATAGATCATCAGAGAGCATGTAGTAGTACGTTATCATAATCTCGTATACCTGAAGTCACTTGAAGGATCGCAACCTTGCCAGCCCATATCTTTCCAAAGTTCTGACTTAAGAGACGGAAGCTCCCGCTTTGGGTAAGCTAACTTCCACAGCTGTTTCAGTGCCTCCTGGAAGCAAGGTTCAAAAGTTAACTCAAGAATTGTTAAACAATACATGATAAAAGGAAAAAGATGGCCTAATGATGGGTTAGATGACTTAGAGTGGAGAAATGAATTGTGCAAAAGTGGAAGGGAACCCAAAAAGGGAAGAGGTTATTAGGAGCGATTTCTCTTCCGAAATTTGGGCAAGACTATGATTATGTATGTAAAGAAATGGCAAGAGTGCATTTTGGTGAATGACGGAACGTGATTCTCCTCTTGATTCAAGTACTTGATCCCAAATTACTTGAGATATGACTTTGTTATTGTTGTACATTTGTGTGCTTTAAACTTATCATATTTTTTGTTATTCCTTTAATTTAAAAATAAGAATAGTTCAGACTTCAGATTAATCAGTTAGCACAGAGAGGGTCAAGAAGGTTGTTCTTGCATATTAAAAACCAGAACAAGACCAACTCAGAACCCAGTTAGAAATCCGACAATTGAGGCTGGCTTAAGATCATCCGATCTCACGCTCCCACGAGCAATATCATGATTCCACCACATTCCCACAGGTCCATTCATGATCCAGTCAGGAAAGAGGGCATAATGTTTCAATATTTAACTGGTAAAGAATGCCGCCACTTTTTATTTTATCCATTTGTTGTTAATTTATTATTTAAACCATTGTGTCTATTAATGAGAAGAAAAATCATGCAAAGACAAGTTTTTCAAGACAAAATAAAAATGGAGATAAGAAATTTGTACTTGATGCTCCCGAAAAGATCCATCAAAAGGAACTGCAACTCTTTGCTTTAGATGTTTTAGCCTGGCCTCCTACAATGCACCAAGATAAAATTATCATTCAACTATTCAAGCAAATCATGGAAGCACAGAGATTCAAGCCAAAAACAACACTCCCTCGGTCCCAAAAAGAATTTGACATTGCGGTTTACGATGTTTTACTGAATTATCTTCAATTCAATTTATTTCAAGATTGGTGAAGAAATAAAAAATAAAATTTATATATTTGAAACCTGCATCAAAAGATTTATGGAGTATAAAACAAGAGGTGACACATTATTTTATCAAATGATCAATGAAAATAAGTAAAGAAAGAGGGTATAGTTTGACCCTATGAATAGTAAATGTAAATATCCTTTAAGGACGGAGGGGGTAATAAAAAGCTAAGTTCAATTGGAGTACAGATAGTATGACACGGCATAAGTATCTAGAGCCTGGATGAATCGGATAAAACCATCATAACAGTAAACAGAGAAACTAGCAAGCTATAGTACCAAAGATTCATCAAGTTATTCCATTGACAAAGAAACCAGTGTGCCTGCATAAAATGCCATTACTTAAGATAAATTTGAGTGCAAGGGTGAGCACTAATATGTGCGGTGAAGCTTTAAAATTTGAAGTTAACGCCCATGTTTATGTTTAATTCAGCTTCAAGTGAAGTTCACGTTTTGAGTTCAAACTTTAAATTTGAACTCAAACTAAAGTTAAGCTTCAAACCTCAAGTTTAATTTCAAGTTGAGTTAAGGCTAAATTATTTCTCGGGGCTGACCTTAGGTTTTGAAGGGATTGTATCACTAATTCTTGTAACGAGCTTGGAGTTCATGATGCTCCGGCATGAGGGGAAGTGTTTTAAGTTTAATTTTATTGCTTCTATTTATATAATGTTACATGTCTATGTTTGTCTTTTGGTGTATCCTATCATTCCTATGCATGTCAACAGGCTCGTGTAATCTGGGTTGATCATATGATATGGAATACACCCATGAAGGTGTAATTCTGTGTAAAGACCCTGCTCAAAAAAGCCCCTGCTGTTGAAGTATACTGATATATTTAAGCTTGGGTTTGGAAAGGGAGGGGAGTGGACTGGTCGAGTATATGGAGGAGGATGAAGGGTTGATTTTTAAGATGGTTTAAAGGCATAAGAATAGGGGAGAAAAAGGGGGATACTGGTTGTGCTTTTTAGGAGGGCCGAAAATTTGGAAGGGAAAATAAGAGGGGAAAAGGGATAAAAACCAAGTAGGTTTTAAGAGATATAACACACTCTTATCCTCACTTGGGGTTTGAGTCTAGAATTTAATTAAGATATTACACACTCAATTAAATAACTAGAACCTAACACTCACACTTAAGGAAACCAACCTTAAGATATAGAAATTAGGATTTGAAAACAGAATACAACCAGTGTATTTCTATCTTGAAATGAAGAATAAAAATCTGAGCATTACAATAGGCCTATGGCCGAAATTTAAAGGCACTCATACAAAGGAAAATACTAAGCTATTTCTTCCACAAATCCTAGAAAATGCAGTCATGTGCTTGAGTCCTTTCATGGAA